CACTTGAACAGCATCACTCACGGGCAGTCCACGGGTCCTTTTCGTGCGTAAAAGCGGACATTTTAATGGCTGGTTGCTTAGGAAAACGTCCTCAAACTGTCCTGAAGCTATGCTCGGTTTGCAGTGTCGAACCTGCTGTATAAAGACTAGAAAGGGGTGACCTTGAACGTACGGCATCAGTGAGTGTATGCAAATTTCCTCGCACGGGACAGACAAAACGGCTACTAGGAGAAGTAACTGAGAAGATACAAGAAAGTGTACGAGACGACAACGACAGACGATTGGGCTGGCAGGGATTCGTTGGGCAAAACAAAGGATACGGCGCATTCAGCAGCACAACACATCAAGGCGACAATACCTGTATCCCTTACTTCTTTGTTGGACTTTCACGGTTTTGCCGGAGGCAACCTACGGGAAAGAAAGGAGCGCGTGACAACAGTGAAAGATGGCGTTGAAAGCACAGCGCTCTTCCAGCAGGAACATCGAATGTTGCCGTTCCTGTTCATGCCACAGTTATCGATTTAAAATGCATTTATTTCTAGGAGATGCAGACGTGTCGGAAATACCATTTTGACGACAAAGGGCGTCGTCTGGCTGTATCTAGGGTAGAGGGCAAGCCGACCTGCGCCAAAGTTTTTTCAAAAAGTTTCTTTGGTTGCGATTATTTTTAGTGATCTTGCGACCTTTGGTGCTGTTGTTTGTCATCTATATTAAAAAACGTTCATTCCGCGATGTCAGGTCTCGTTTAAAAAGTCAGAAGAATGCTACTTGTGTAATCTCTCTTCAGAAGTTGATCGAAAATTTTGATACGTCAAAATCATGAGTTGTGATGAGTATCTACTTAAAATTATTACGAATAAGGGCAACTAATCTAATCATGAATTAGAAACGTTAGTATAAATTTTTAAATCCAGTCATAGGTATGCGTTTACCGAAATCGTAATCCATTACTTTGTAATGAATTTCGCGCGAAAGCGTTGTACATGAACACGGCTGACACCTAAAACTGCCACACATTTCATTTGGCTTTGAGCATGGGTTAACGATATTACGTCATTAGGTTATAGTGTAGGTTCACGGCAACTTCTAGGCGTAAGGCAAAATAAAAACTGCATCAGATGGAAAAAACGTCGTCGAAATTTGAATTTAATTAGGCTCAGTCGGTAATCAGGAAAGATCAAGACAATGCCATTATCATACTTACAAATTATACATGTGCTCTGGGCGCCCAATGCACAATTTATCTAGCGCACTTCTATAGTTACCACAGCCAGAGAGCCTGCTGCCTCAACGTTTCAAACTACAGTGTTGGAAAATATCCTCAGATATTAATAATTGGGGAAAATAAGCCATTAAGTAAAGCCATCTAATATTATTGATCTCATGAGGATAATAACTAAAAATGTTGAATAGTTCAGCGTACTAAGATCGCGCACTCTAAACGTCAGATTTATATAAAGATCCGCTTTTTATATAAATCCGGCATTCGTAACAACATCAGGTTGTTAGGTTGCAAATTAATTTTTGACAAAGCCAAAAAAAAAACTAAATTCAGTCAGTTATTCTTCACAATCAATTCCAAAAGCATATAAAAGTCCAACGGATATGTGTCTGTCTGTCAAACATCGCAGTTGTTCCAAGAGCGTTGGCAAATGCGTCCACGCGTTTCTTCGATCCAAGTCGATACATGATCGTAGTCAAAGTTCAACATTTTAATGAAATACTTTCGATATTAAGTATAGAGTCAAAAACTTGCATGCCTAATGGATTCATATGCATCTTTCATGTTGTTCATGTACACCTTTTTCAGTATTCACAATAAGAAAGATTAAAATACTTGCATTATAAGGCATATTTTAATTAATAAAGTCGTAGTATGGTATATGAACACCATGTTTGTCTGGCGTATAAAACTCGCAACAATTAATGCGAACACGATTATTGACCTTTCAACAATCCCATTTGCAATAAGGGATAAGGAGCAATTACTATTATAATTATAACGATGATGAAAATTATTATAATTATATAAAACTATATTGGGTGGAAAAACGAAAGGATGCAAGATATTTATTGTTAAATGGAATGAGTGGCGACAATAAGGCGAGCTAAGCTGAATGTGACTAACGGGTTGTCAAGCAACGTACGCTTGTTCACATCGAGGTGATAATTGTTTTGCGATCTTTTACACCATCGGCTGCCAGCTGAACACATGTGGAATCCGAAAAGATGCTTTTGTTTTATAGGCAATCGTTTTATTCAGATCTAGAAGTTTCACCTGAGCCTTATTATCGTATGAATCGATCGTTTAAAAAATCATCATTTTATAGGATAAGAAAATGCATTAAATTAAAAAAATATGCGATACAACTGAAATCGACGGAAAACTGATTTAGGGAAATGACAAAACGTAAACAGAATTCAAAAAAAAAAAAAAAAAAAAAAGAACTGATAACAAATACAGTAACTATCCTGTACGCTTAGCTTTTATTTACTTTTTTTAGTATCCGCCTTTTGTCAGATAATATCCCTATTTTATCGTGAGAAATCCAGGAATCGGCGTTTTCAAAAAAATTAATTTCTTCACAGTTTCATTGCAAAGTATATTTTTGGCAGCGTGCGCTACGTGACGTGTGGATGAGGCTGAAGATGAAAATATAAATTGTAGTAGTATGACATACAGGAATAAATTGGTCAAATATATGATTGATTACTCAGCTGGAAATGTCAGAATTCGAATAGAAGTTATAATCCGTAAAATAAATGTATCTAGATATTTTTAACGGCCTATGAAATAAACGCTTCCGTTCCATGTTGAGTACTATATGACTGTCATGCTATTGGTAGTTCTAACGTAAAACGATACAAATGTCTTACCACTAAATAGGCACAAAGTAATGTGTGGGGAAAAACGCGTTATAATATTGAAAATGCCTCAGGTACGACTAGATAGGTGTAGGTTTGCATGCTGAAAAGAAATGTTAAATGATACTGAAGCCCAAATTACAATGCCCGTTGGCCCTTGGTCAATATAAACGGCATAAAGAACGGTAAAGCGTATTCTAGATAGTATCAAAGCGAACGTGTATTGAATGCAACTCGCATAAATTTATTTAGACGATAATGATGACACGGCGCTCATAGAAAATGGCCTTGTCGATTCGACTTTACGAAGCTGCACATTGAAAGAGTCTTTTAAACGCCAACTTCTCCAAGCTAAAATCAATGACATAGGGGAACGAAACTAAGTTACTAGACTTTTCTCTACTTTAACATAATGATTTTTGATATCGCAATTGCCACAGTCCCTCCCTTAGCAAACTTCAAAAAATCGTTATCAAAAATAAACAGTTGAGCGTAAATGTTTACAGATTTTAAAACACATCCGTATCGTGGAGGATACGACTGTTGTAACTTCACGAAACTTCAATTTATTTCACGTCCTTTAGCTTGAGAGATTTACTGCCATATCAAACATATATTTCTGTAGTTCAACTTTTGAAAATCTTATAGATAATGAAAGATCCAAGACACTACGTTTTACCGTTACTGCATTATTACAGAAAACGATATTGTATTCAGATAATATATTTTGATCCGTTAAGTTCGACTTTATTAGATAAAAGACGTGGTCCTGTTTCCCACTTCTGGATAATAATTTAATTAGCTAATCTCTTTAATTAGCTGATTAGCTGAATCAATTGCAGAGCTGACATGAAAAATAAACTTATATGCTGCAATTCCACGTATCCGTCTTTTTCCTAGGCCAAACATGTTTTTGCTCAGTGGTGCACAATTCACTGCCTTCAAAAAAATAAACAGTGTGAAGCGGATTAATTTTCTCTTTTAAACGATATTTTTATTTGTATAAATATCCTTTATATATAACACATGTATACAGACATACTTTATATAGATACATATATATA